CCAAGACGAAATCCGCAACCAAAACGAAAGTGTAGCTACGAATAAGAATGTTAAAAGAAAAAAGCACAATAAACTACTGTAAAAGCTGAAATTGAAGGCTTCCACGCATTTGTTAGCTAGACGTTGTCAATGAGCGCGGCGACCAGCGGGCACCAGCGAGAAAGCATAGAGGATGTGCGAGACGGAGACAATCAGCCGCCTAGGTCATCTTATCATGAGCAACAGCTGCCGCCACCCAGTGACAGCAGTTGGTCCCCGCACTATCATGCTCTGGGAATGCCACAAACTTTGCGCTTGCGGACAGGCCTAAGCTGCTCACGGAATGCATTAATGAAATCTACTTCGCCCTCCGAGTGTTCCTTTACCACACTCACGATAATGTGCGTTTACACTTTTCGGTCGCGGGTGACAAACGCGATTTTGGGAGTGCCGCCGGCTCACCCTACGTCAGTGCATCATGAAGTTAATGAACATAATCATGAACATCTCGAATTCCAGCGATGGTCAATGCAAGAGATTAAATAGGTATAATAGCGAGATGCCGATTAAAAATACCTATCGAAACGCAATACTTATTTATTCGCTTATTTATTTGTTAATTGCAACGTAATAAAAGCGCATTTTTCCCTCGATTGTTTCAGCAAAAATTACCTCTGTTATTCATTTTCATTCACGTAGTCATGGAATTACAAAGAAAATGAGAAGCAACTGAAAAAAAATTTGTTGCGGCCCAGAAGACCTCTTATAAAGTGGAGGATAACTACAGGGGTGGCCAAAAAAAGAGACACTTCACTCAACATTCAAAACGGAATTATTTACGCGTCGCGAAACCAAACCAAATGATCCCAACTGAATATTGAAGAGCACGTTATAATCTATCCTTCTATATTTATAAAGCGCTAACTTTGTGTGTCGGTTTGTGTGTCTGTATGTGTGTGTGTGTGTATGTGTATGTATGTATGTATGTGTGTATGTGTGTCCGTCCGCAAAATGAAGTGAGTGAGAAGGAAGCTCATGGGATAAACAAACCGCTAACAAATCGGGTAGCTTACAGGATTTGAGATATCAATGTTTTGTAGCAGGATAGTTGTGATAACACTCTTAGGGCTATATAAACACCTGCTTAGCACACTTCCGTTCATTCCACATGGTGCTGCAGTGGCAGCTGGAGGGCAGTGGAGAGAGGAAGGGAGGATGAGGAAGGGAAGCGAAAAATCTACCGTCATATCATGATTGTGTCCCTTCTACTGTATGAAACACCATTGTGTTGCATACGCGTCACTTCCAGGAGGTGTTGGTGTCACAGGAGGAAGGGACCATAGCGGAGGATAGAAAGCTTGCGCAGGAAAGGAAGGTCCCGGCGGTTGACGGGGGACTAATCTGGTATAATATATAACAACACAAACAGTGTTCTACCGACGACATCAGAAGATTTTCCCACGGAAGCATTGTGCACGGTACGAGCTCAACGAGGTCGTCGAGGTACCATAGACGATTACGACGTCTCTGAAACGCTGGTCAAAAGCGGTTTTGCATAGTCACAGCTAATGTCTCTGGAAGCTATTCAACAGTTAATCATTGAAGAAATTATGTAGCAGCTTCAGGCCGGAGCGATTACGGTAAGCCTCGTTGAGCTCGACGGTGACGGCAGATGACGTCATATTCTGAAGACGGCGGGGCAGTGAAGGAGGGCCTGCTTCTGTTTACGGGGGAACACCTAAGGAATATTCGCCGTAAAACTTTCATTAACATCGGCTCCCTGTGCGACGAAAAGTTCGATGATGTGCGCCATGGGCTAAGTGTCTCTTTTTTTGGCCACCCCTGTATATTTGCATGGACCACGATGTTCAAATTTATGTATTATTCCCTAATTATTTCGCTGATATCGAAAAAATCCAACAAAATGATGATCTTATTTGCTGGCAGGCCATGTGGGCTGCCATAGTTCCACGAACAGTAAATGATAGTCCATGTGGAACCTCGCGTGGATGTGTTAAATCTCAAGGGGTAACGTGGGAGATAAAGAGACAGGGTTCAAAAATAGCATAGAGTTTTGGTGATTTTCAGGCATTCAGCGGCTATAGCCGAAAAGACACAAAAGGAGTTAACGCGAGGTAAGAAGCGATTCCTAGAGAAAACGATGTTAATGATAATGAGCAATAGTAGACGATAACGGAGACAGTTTAGAACGGCAACAAGCAGCTGGGAACCACATGGAACCGCACTCTAACAGAAAGGTCACTTGGCCATACTGTGAAGCGTGAATGAGATGAAAACTTTTAATGGTATAGGAGTAATGCCCTAAGTTGCGTTCTCTACAAATGTCATTTTTTCAGACTCTAGGCAACGTTAATGGCTCTCCAGGGCGATGCACGTTTTGTACTGAAGCAGAAAACAAAGCACGGCAGCTGAAAGCAGAAAATGGTCAATAGAAAAATGGTTTGAGGGGGCTGTTACGAAATAGTGCAATCTCGGGCGTGACCATAAAACGATCAGGTGAAATGTGGCTCCTACAATGGCCAAACCGATGTGTACTTTCTGGTGTGAGCTTCGCTGCAGAGAGACGTATCGGTCGAATGATCGATCAGATGACGGCACAGACGCCTCCGAGGTACACTTAACACCCTGTATGTCTAGTAAGTAAAGGGTATTAATAATGCGATGTTTTGCATCTTTGAGCCACGAGTCGGGATTAGGTCCCAAGAGCCAGTCCCTTCTAGAGTGAGCCCAAAGGCAGGAGGCACGACACTGTCGCGACTCAAAAGTGCGAGGCAACGGCGCTAAGGCCTTGCCTTGTGTGCTGCCGTGCTGCCATCCTTATCAACCACGGCATACGTGGTCTCTGCGCCCTCGCGTACGACGTACTATCTCGCGTTCTCCCTCTCCTCGCAGCGCTGTGTCTCTCCGTCATACCACGGCCGGCCTCATAAGGGAAATTTTAGTGTTTCTATGTGCTTTTTGCTTTTTCTTTGAACCGAATGTTCCTCATTGCACTGCTTGCCTAAATAACGCATCAGTTCAATCCCGTCTCATCTCTTTAACACATTCACGGCAGCGGACGAGCTCCACGTTACGTAAAGAAAAGCCAAATGGACGTAGTTCCAGGCAGTGGATATTCCGTTGGAGTGCAACACACCTGACATTGAATTGCTGAGACGATCAGATGGACGTTTAGTTCATGCAATGTTCATAATTCAAGGCGGAACGAATAGGCCACCAATGCGTCTCCACCAGATCCAGATGCGACTCCCTCGTTCTTCCTTCCTTCGACTTCCTTGACGTGCGCTTGACTCTCTCTCTCCCACTTGCGGACTAACTGCTGTCAATCTTTTAATCCCTTGAAATGCCTTTTTACAAACTTGATTTCATCTTTTATGTAGTTATTATCTATTCCCTTGCTAAGGAAGTGGTGTAGTGGCAAGTGGCACGCTTACCACGCGAGCGGTCCGGGGATCAAATCCTGGGTCGTGAGTCGCCCGGGCCAACCAAGCCTTCCATCCCTCCGGGGTCGGTTAATTGGTACCAGACTTGTCTGGGAGGATAAAAACACTGACTTGTACATCGGCTGGCCCCCGCAAGTCATTGTATAGGCCACATCGCATTCAAACGCCACTACGAATGTACAAATGGAAGTAGAATGCGTGCCGCATCCCAAAAAGGGATTGATCAACGGCAAATGCTTTATCCTTTTCATCCTGGTAAATTCCTTAAGGATATCATTCAAACAGTCTTAAATGTGGACATCACTGCACTTGCTTCCAGAACTTCAATATGATTTGCATCTGGTTATGAGCCGGAAAACTAAGTAGGAGCTGGAAGAACGGTAGGTTCTTCTGACCTTTACATCTAATGAGACGATATTTCGCCAAATTCTATTGATTTTTGATTCTTTATCACAAATATAGATACCTCGAGAGAGGTCCAATGAATCGTAACATAAATGGTGAGATCCAGACCCTCCCCGATTGGCCGGCATGAGCATAACAGTAAGGGAGCAAAAGCAAAGATCTGCATGCACTAATCCACCAACGCTTCACCGGAGGCACGCATTGAAGTAACTCTGAACTCTAGACTATCTTAAGTTTGCCTGGATTACTACAAAGATGCAGTACAGCTTTCTGAGCAGCGCCTAGCGCCGTCGATAATTTGCGAGTGCTAGCATTGGTCTTTGCTTGCTAAACATTGCGCAAAGTCTCGCTCTGTGCAGCAGTCGGGCATCAAGAGCGAGGTTACACTTTTACGGATTTTGCTCCAAAGATAGCGCTTATATCAAATGCGGGTGTTAGTTTGGAAGGTGACGGCTTTCTGACACCGGGTGACAAAATATGGCCTTTGTAGGAACACATGAAAAGCAATAGTTGGCAGATGGCTTCAGTCAACTGAAAGCATCGTTGCTTTAAATGGGATGCGGTGTTGATGCATGTTTATACAGGGGGGGGG